CCCCAAAACCCCAAAACCCCAAAACCCCAAAACCCCAAAACCCCTTTAAGGATTTAAAAAGTTGAAGAGTCTAATTTTCTCAGAAATTAGAAACTAAATCCGTTGTCTTCTCCCCATTTCTTCATGACATTGATAAAGAATTCAACTTGTGGGTTACTCGTGTTTCTCAGCATGCTAATTACCTCAATCAATTTTTCTCTTGTTTCTTGGCCTGCAACTACGAGTTGGAAGAGACCAATGGCTGCTCCTCTCTTTCCATCCCAAAATTCTGGATCAGGATCGAGTCTTTCGAGAACATCAAATGCCTTAACTGAATAATAAAATTGTCCCATTTTATAGCAGTCATTAGCAATCAGATTGAGCAACGATAAACTTTCGTTAGAGGTCTCCATGTTAATATAGATTTCCCATGCATGTTGTGGCTTTCCGTTCATGATATAGCATCTACTTAGCCATGATAGGTAGGTATAATCTTCTCTGTATTTTTGAACCTGAAGTAAAGCCTCCTCAGCAGCCTTGTATTCACCAGCTGAAGCAGATGCAATACCAAAGTTCCAATTGAAATCATCGTCATTTAGGAAATAAGATTTGATAGATTTTAAGTACACCAACACATCATCAAATTGCTTAAGAAGGAAGAAACATGAAGCCATGCATTGTCTTCCTGGGATAGTGTCACATTCTGTTGCTGATCCTCCTACAAGCTGGAAGAGCTTCTGAGCTATTCCTAGATGCTCCTTACTTTCATCTCCTTGGCCAATGACTGAATGGACAACAGCTTTGATGATATATTCTTTTGGAACGACCGGCTCCATATCTTTAACAAGTTTGAATGCTTCATTTACCTCTTCATTCTTGAGATGGTAGATTACCAGATTTAGTCTTGCCTCTGGGATGATGTCAACTAAAGGCGGAAGAACCTGGAGTGCGTTCTCACCACCTCTGAAAACAACCAAGTTGTGTCTTAATAAGTCACTATCCTGGAAGACATCTCCACTAGTAGAGCTGTTTTGGAGGACCTTGAGCTCAGCCTCAGCTGCTTTCCCATTATATAGCTGATAATGGTTGCATGCCTTGAGATTAACTCCAATGATAGAATTCTGATTGATGCCCAAATACACAGCTAGTATTTCTAAAGAGACATCATAGTAGTCAAGTTTGTAGTAACAAAGAGCTACATATGCATTTAGAGCATGAAAATCTCTGTTTTCCAAGAGCAATTTCTTATAGATCTCTGTTGCTTCCTCGTAATGATTTCTCAAATAATGAAGAGCAGCAATACAAAGCTCATCTCTAATACTGCTAGTAAGTTGCTGATGATAATTCATAATCTGTGTTTCCTCGCCTAATTTATGGGAAAGATGGAACATGAGACGGATAAAAAGCCCTCCATCAACATTATCTCCTGCCTTTTCTCATTCTTTCTTAGCTTCTTTGTACTTACATTCAGCATAGAGACAGCAGGCTTTGTAAAGATGGAAATTCTTATCATAATCATGTCCTCTCATGAGCTCATCATAAGTATCAATTGCCTTCTTATAATCTCCATTATGGAAGCAAGCGTATGCCAAGCTGAGTAAAGTTTTAAGATCATGCTTCTTTGAATACTTCCTTTCACAATCCAAGAGAGTGATAGCTCCAATATAATCCCTATCCTTTAGGTAATCCTTAGCTTCAGGCATCTTAATCTCCTTTGACTTTGGCTGAGGAGCAGACGTCTTTGCCTGCTGTTGCTTTCTTTTTACAGCGGAACCTGGTCTGATCATCTTTGATTTTTCAAATTTAAATAATGTTTATAAAATTATCGGGACATGGTTCAATTTGGAGAAGAGGGAAGGGGTTTTGGGGTTTTGGGGTTTTGGGGTTTTGGGG